GGGAGGTGGTATAGACATCTGGGAGACATCTCTGAATTTCAAGGATAAAAAGAAAATCTTGCAAGCTTTCAGGCAAAATATCTTACTTACAAAGGAAAAACATTGCATCAATACTAGAAGGCAGTGGAATAACATCGTGGATTACTGATAGGAAGGGACCCATTCAAGATAACATTTATTGACAAGGGTAAGATATAGGAGCATGCAAGGATATCACATTTGAGAAAAATCTAGAAGTGCTGTTAACCAAACAGCAAATCAGTCATAGTCAAGACTTTTCAACATAGAGGGAAATGGAGTGGAGAGGAAATAATGGCAAGCAAAAAACCCTGTAATGCGTTTGGTTAAATGTAAATGAGGTGTGATAGAATGACCAAGAATATGAAATATAGGGTATCAAATAAAAACTCTTGGTGTAGAAGACATGCATAAGAGAAAACTTTAAGATTAGTCTCTGGGCAAAAGCACTAAACTGTCTTTTTAAAGCTTAGAAGTCGGGAAAGGACGAAATATGAAAGCAATTGAATTCTGAAGGGCTATATAAGCATTGGAAGATTGGGGAGGGAAAAGTATAGTCTCATCTTGTGGCAGCCACAATACTAGACGGTATGCTTTTTAAAAATTATATTTTCTTTTTGGGGCTAGGGTATGGAAATGCTTTAGGATCTTAAAGTTACAGATAACTTCCTACCTTTTCTTTTAATTAATTTTTAATTTTAATTCCAGTACAGTTACATAGTTATATTCGTTTCAGGTGTACAATATAGTGATTCAGCAATTCCATACATTACTCAGTGTTCATTACCATAAGTGTACTCTTAATCCCCTTCCCCTGTTTCACCTGTCTCCCCACCTACCTCATTTCTGGTGACCATTAGTTCTCCATAGTTAAGAGTCTGTTTCTTGGTTTGTCTCTTCTCTTTTCTTTCTCCTTTGCTCATTTGTTTTGTTTCTTAAATTCCACATATGAGTGAGATCCTGTGGTATTTGTCTTTTTTCTGACTGACTTATATCACTTTAGTTTTATCCTCTCTAGCTCTATCCAGGTGTCTCAGGTACTTTCTCTGCAGTTGGTTTATTCACATCAGGATATAAACAGGTTTCACATAAGGGCACCCAGGTGGCTCAGTCAGTTGAGTGTCTGACTCTTAATGTCAGCTCAGAACATGATCCCATGATTGTGGGACCAAGCCCTGCATCAGGCTCTGCACTGAGCGTGGAGCCTGTTTAAGATTCTTTTTCTCTCCCTCTCCCCCTCTTTCCCTCTCTCCCTTTCTCCTTTTGCCCCTCTCCCCCTCTTGCCCTTTCTCTCTAAAAAAAAAAAAAAAAA